ATACGTTCATTTCATTTGAAGTTCAGAAATAGTTTGTTCATAGCTTAGAATCTTGAAGAAAGACTTTAGTTTGCTTTCTAAAGAATTAATCTTTTCAAAAGATATGAATCTAGATTTTTTACAAAAAATCAAAAAATTAAGTTCCAGTAATGAGAGACACACCGGAAAAAAATATATTGAAGAAACAATAACATTTTCGTTAAATTTTAATTTTTTATGCCCGAGATTACCAAAATCTTTGTCAGGTAATTTGTTTTTTTTTTATTCAAGAATTAAATTTTTATGAAGTATTCGTTGTAAAATCTAATGCTCGATGTTTCATTTTCTCCAATTCATCTCATCAAACCATATTTCAACTTTATTTGGTAGATTAAAAGAAAATTGAATCCGCTAGCTGTTGCTCGAACCGATATACTTAAGTGTAATCAGTATTTTTTGTGCAAAGAAGTATTCGTTTGACTTTGTACTGTCGCATTAATGGCCCTTCACTCATTTTCAACTTCTATTCAATTTTCATACTGCCGTACTCTAACGGAACTATCTACCAACTCTCTTCTAAGACCATTTTTTAGCTACTAAATTATCACATAAAAAAAATTTATATAGCATTTCCATACAACTCTGGAAATTGCAAACTTCGCGTATGAAGTAACATAAAAACAATTTGAATGTAAATAAAATCATTTAAAATCCTTGGCTCAACTCCAAGTTATGTTGTCAATTCATATTTGTTCTAATCCAGGGATACACTGGGCTGACCATTCAAGACAACCTTGAACAGACGTTCAGTTTTGGTGTCATAAGTGAACAAATTGCGTTGCTTCTCAGAAAGATATTGGAGAAGACATTTGAATCCGTCCATGGTTTCAGCCAATACACGGCATTCACCCCAACGGTCAAGTTCCGTGCGAAGAGCATGGAAATCGGAAATGGTTATCGCAACAGGGGGAACGTTTTCCATCTTAACATTAAGCTAGGAATGTTTTCTGAAATTTTTCCTGGATGATGGATATGCATATAAAATTGATTTCTCAAATGAATTTCATCAGAAGGGGGATCCAGAGATTGCTCTTTTCTTTTGCGTTTATGTGCCATGGCGGCCGAAAAAAGATTCTCCAAATCGACTTCCAAGCAAACTACTATAAGAATCCGAAGGATCGAAGAGGAATTTTCCAAATCGATACCTAATCAGGATTAACTCGGGTAGGGTCCACAGGAGGATTGAAGAGAAATGAGAATCGAAAAAGGTAGACAATTTGTAGGTAATATTACGCACCAAAAAGTGCTATTTAATTTTGTCGTATCTTTAAGTAGCAGTAACACTTCCTTGAGCAAAAAAGCAAATAGATCCGCACGGCAAGAGAGCACTATGCGGACTGTTAATAGTTAGTAAACGTTACTTTAAAATTAGTTATACTCGGTTTTGAGAAAACGTAGATAGCGCATCAATCACCATTTTGCAATAGGGTAAATGCCCAAGCAGCACCCATCTGTCACAAAAAGTTGCAGCAACTTGATTGTGACTGAAATTAGTCACATTGAAGTTACCTCAACCAGTTTGTGGCAAGTGTGCTACTAGGGTGACGGCTTTGACAGGCAGTTAATGCTTTCAGCAACCTAAGCGTAAACATTTATTTCACTGGGTTTTCACACAACAGCATTTTATACGATTTCTTACTGGCTTAGCTGCACTATGGTTCACTTTAAGAGCAAGGAAAACGCATTCCAAAAGTTTTTTTTTTTTGCTGAAATGAATAATACGCTGGGAAAATTACGGCATAAGTAATATTATTACTTATAATCAGGGGAGTAAATAAAGCCGTTGAGCGTCCAAACTCAATTGTGAGTTGTCCTTGAAGACAGTTTGTGAGATGCAACAAATGAAAACATTAGACTGAACAATATTTTTAATCATTAGGTTGCATACTGCATGTTTCCTTATTGAAGTACGAAGTACTGCACATTGTAGACGAAATACGCATATCTGTCAAGGATAAGCAAAAAAGGTAGTGGAATTAAATGAAAATTATAGAAGCTGATAAACATCAAATGTCCAGACGCTGGCAGACGTGGTTCCAGCAAGCTGCTCAAATCTTCAATCAAAATAGCCATAACACTCCAAATAAGACCACAGTCTGCTGCCCCGGGCTTAAGAGCTTCGTCAATTACATCACCTCTATGCCGCCCAGAAAATGAGCAACTTCAAAGCGTTTGACACTTCCTCCCACACTGCCTCGTGACCCTCCCAGTGTAAGTGATTTCGCTTTCCATCCCAACAACTTACTACTCTAAAAGTCCGGAGGAAAAAAAAAATCACCAACCAAAGCAATGTTTATCCAGCCACTTAACAGCTTGCACAAATCTTGTTTGATGTGTCTTGTTTTTTCCGCTGTTTTCGCACATCCGAACATTTCCACCGCCATCATCGTCGTCGGAGCACACTAAATATGCTGCCGTATTGCTATGCTGCATGACGCGGTTGACTTCGTTAAACGGAAGCGCGCCACTCACTCACTACTACTACTACCGCTACTACCACTACACTAGCACTTTGGGACTCTGGAGAGGTGATTATGGCATACATCTCTCATTTCGCACCACGGTGCCACCAACCAACCGCCGCCCCACCTGTGTGTCCGCTTACGTCTAGCGTGTACAAGTAGGTGCTTAATCACAGTGACGGGTGTTGCTTGTTTACGAGCGCTTTTCCTTTCTGTAGCTGACAGTTTTCGGTGGTGCGAAAATTTTCACTTTGCGGTGGATTAATTTTTGAATTGCACGGTTGTTTTGATTCGAGTCTTATTTAGGGAACTGCTCTGCGAGATGAAAGTGCACCTTTGCTTTGGTGCCTTGTGTCTTTGCTATTTTTTTTAAATTTTATATTCAAGTAATTATTGATAAATTTCCATGAAACTTTATTTGTCATTAGTTGTTGATAGCTTTGTTTAAACTAAATTGTGTTCAACTAAATTAGAGAGGGTATTTTAATATATTTGTTCTATTTATATCGCCATCCAGACGAATGTGTGTTTCTGAATGGGAATTATGTGTAGTTACTTTACATGAAGGGAAAAACTGATTTGATGATCTTTTACAAGAATAATGCCCCTGATTTTAAGAAATTGTATGTAAATAGATGCCAACTAATACTGCGAATATTTCTGAACTGATGAAAACCCATATGTGACTGATATACGTTTTTATTTGTAGTTCAGGTCATACTAAGCCAGTTTAAAACATCTAAACAATCTTAGTCCAGAGAATCAAGCTGCAATTGATCGTAAAGCTTGGCATATTTTTTATTTAAATTTGCATATATGTGCTATAATAATAAATTTTGGATTGTGGTACAATAACATGGTGGAAGAGATGTATAGAATTGACTTTAAAACGTAAAAATAACTACATTAAAAAACCTATGCCCAAATCCAAATAAAAAAAAAATTCTAGCGAAAGTAGATGTTAATAACAGATATTTAAAAATAATTCTGAGATGGTGGAAAATGTCTTAACAGATTTCACAGAAGACCAACATTCCATTGATTTTTTAAAGTCTATATTTTAGAATGTATGATATGAATTTTAACGGTGGTGTAGCGGTAATCGTAATTGCCTCTCACCCCAAAAGGCCTGCGTTCAATCTCTGATCATGCCTTCTTTCGGAAGGGAAGTAAAGCCGTTGGTCTACGGTCTACGAGTTGATGGGTCGATATGTAGGGTCAAAGTGTGGGAGCTCAGAACTGAAACCAGGATCGACGGAAAACAAATCAAGGGGAAAAAATCAAATGTTCAATCAACATTTCAAAAGCATTGACGTTACAAATAAATAAATTAATTCATTAATAACTAAACAAACAAATAAAGAAATAAATAAATAAATTAACGTATAAAAATAAACAATTAAAATTAAATAAATACAAACTTAAGGAATACATCTATATATAAATATATATATTTATTTAAAATAAATAAATAATTGAACAAATTAAAAAAATAAATAAATGCATTAATTAATTAAATAAATCAATAAATTAATAAATCAATAAAAAAATAAATAAATAAATAATTAAATAAATAAATAAATATATAAATAAATAAATAAATAAATAAAAAGAAAAATAAATAAATTAAAAAACAAATTAATTAATTAATTAATAAAAAAATAAATGAATAACTCTATTAATAAAAAAAATAAATCAATAAATAAAAAAAAATAAGGAAATAAATATATAAATAAATAACTTTATAGATAAATAATCATATGAAAAAATAAATAAATAAATGAGTTCATATGTTCATCTTCAATAAAATAATTTATTTAAATAATGATAAAAAAATTACAAATGAGTTGCTATCCATCTCCTTAACCGATCAGACGTATAATACCATTCTCGAACTTCTTTTGTGTGACGCGCGTGAGTTTTGTTGCCCATAGCCATGCGGGCTTTGCGAGAAAACTGTGTCGTTTTGGATAAATCCATTCTGCCTAAGCGGCCGTGTATTTCGGAAATCGAACGATTTCTAGAAAGTGAACTGCAACTTGATATGTCACAAGTGAAATGTATCCAGCCACACAATGTGAAAAACGTTGCATACCTGGGTATGCAAAGTAACAAGAAGAATCGCTTCAGCTCATCACCTGAAGCATTTTATGGAGTATGAGGGAGAAAAGATCTCTATTTCAATTTATGTCGAAAGCAGCGCTGTCAACGTACGTTTGCATGATCTTCCAGATGACATGTAGAATGTGGTTATCATCGACCATATGCGCCAATATGGAGAGGTGATAGCAATTCGCAGTGAGGTTTGGAAGAGTTATTTTCCAGGCTTCAGTAATGAAGTGCGTGTTTTAAAAATGAGACTTATTCTTCCCATCCCGTCATTCATTACCGTGGATGGCGAAATTACATTGGTATCATACCCAAACCAAGTAAAAACATGTCGCAATTGTGAGCGCAAATCTCACCCAAAGCAGCGCTGCTCCGATGTGGCTCCAATAGCAACAGCAGCAACAGCAGCAGCAGCAACAGCAGATGCAACAGCAGATGCAACAGCAGCAGCAAACGAAGACAATACTCTCA